CGCGAAGGCCGGAGACCCAGCCGCTTCTGTTCAGCAGCAGCAGCCGGCTCCCAGAGGTGCGGAGGGCGAGCAAACGTGTGCTCCCCGGCATCCGCTGCTATGCTGCTTCCAGCGCAGGAGTTTCTGGGGTTGGGGCACAGAGGCAAAGGAGCACGGGCTATAAATCCCTCTGCATTTCTTCCCAGGGTTGGCACAGCAGGGGTACCGGTACAAGTTTTACATTTTAACTATCCCAAGCAAGTAGACTGCCTCTTATCCCCTCCCAAGAAAAGTTTCTTATGTGGTGGCTCTTGCTAGCCAGCCCCACGTCTAGCAGCAAGGCACATGGGTCACATTTTCCACTGTGGCAAGTAGTTTTGGATGTTCCAATTTCTTAGATGTTTCAGGCCTGGTATCAGAGTAGTTCAGCATCTCCATCCTCCCCCTTGCACACACTTCTCTGGTCAAGGACAGAGCTGTCACAGCCTGGACAGTCACAAAGCAAGGCAACAAAAAGCAGCCACTGCTTTTGGAAATGTTTGTTTATATGAACCCACAAGCTGGCTGGAAGGCAAAAATAACATCCTCTGAAAACTGTCAGGGCTCATCCCAGCGGGGCTGGCGGAGGTCAGGTCAAGCCTGTCTCTGTGGGGCCAAATGGGAACCTCTCGCCTTGGAGAGCGAACGTAAACCCTTCCCTTCCTCCCCAGCACACCTCCTCACCGCCCTTTGTCCCTTGGCCCCGAGCCTGCACTTGGGCTTTGCTTTGCTTTTCCCTACTCCATTCTGTCCCTTTTGGGGTCACCCGCAGATCCTCCAGCCATGGTCCACAGGGTGATGGAGCTGTTTCTACCAGGGCTCCCTTGGTCATGCCAGCTCCTGGTGCCCAGCACGCTCTGTCAGCCCGTCCCAGGGAAGCTGTTTACATCTTGGGCAGGGTTATCTAAGCCTGAAAGCACGGGACAGCCTGGCTGAGCTACTCCCAGCTTGGGAGCAAGGACAGGCAGATCTGCCTGCACAGAGGAGCTGCTGTGTCCTGTCCGGCCAGCCCCTCTGCTCCTGCAGGGTCAAGGCTGGGGGCTGAGCACCCCTCGCCCGGTACCTCGGACACCCTTGCCCGGGACCTCGTTCCCTCCACCCTGCCTCCCTAGCGCTGCAGCCGGCTCCCTTCACCCTGCACCTCGGATCCCCTGCACCACGGCACCTCGCAGCCCTGCGCCGCGGGCCCCCCGCTCCGCACCCCGGCCCTCCTGCTGGC